AAATTATATAAAGAAATTCTCCCTAAATCGTTGCCCAAATTAAAATGTAGACTCCTGTGTTAGTATAATGGTACAGCTGGAGAGTGCATGTCTGAGCAAATATTCAAATGTGAATGTTAGTTGATTCTAATTGGTTGAATGTAAAAAATAGTCTTTAAACTTTTAATTTTACTTGAATATCTCTAATTTTTTTGTACTAATTTTTTTGTACTAATCTTTTGGTATCCGATAATCAAGTTGAATCTCAATTAATTCATAATCGAGTTGAGGCACATTCTATTAGGGAACATTTTTCTAACACCTGTTTCACCGTTCATAAGACTCAAACTTAAGATATTATTTAAGAAAAATCAAATTTCTTCCACTCGAATCAACAATTTCATAAATCATTACATTTTTAATTTATTAAATTAATAAAACTAAAACTGCTGTATTAATGTTAAACGGTAGAAGTATCTATCAGTTTCATAAATGTCTACGTTTTTTTTTTAGCGTTTCACTTTGTTTGCCTTCAACGTGGGATTCTTTGTAATTCACTTCAGGCTTCACTTCACATGTGAATGTTAGTTAATTTTAACTGGTTAGATGTCAAAAATAGTCTTTTAATTTTTCCTGAATATCTCTAATTTTAAATGACTCCAAAGTAATCTCTAAATTTATTTATTATTTTTGTGAGACTCATATTCTTACTGATAATAATCATTTTTTTACTCAAAAATTATTTTAAATTGATTGTCATTTTTTAAATATATTTTAAAGGTAATAAATATTTTTTTACCATTTTATTTACTGATTTTAATTATTCATTCTACCATTAAAATTTTCTTTTTATTTTTATCTATTTCTTAAGGATTATATCATATATGTGTAAAAATATAAAGTACACCCAAAATTTTAATTTTTTTTTAAAAAAAGGTCAAACAACGACTATTGTTGTATAATTCATAATTTGTAGCAATCTCACTCCTTGTGGGATTTTATTTGAAAATCATGATAAGTTTAAAACTTTAATTGAGCTGCAATAAGGCTTGGGACCTTAATTGCAAATTAAGTGAAAATTCACGATCTTATCAGCACATTATCCCAAAGTCATATGCATTCTATTTAGTCGGTACCTCGGTACCTAAAGTTTTACAAACAGAATTGATGTTCGTTGAGCTGAGGGTATATATCCCAATTAATAATTTAGTAACGATCATTAATTTTAATTGTAATTTTATTAATTTATAATTTTTTTAAAAATAATTTATTATTATATTTAAAAATATATGTATAAATTAATTTTAAAATATTAAATAATAAATGTTAATTGTTTTATTAATTATTAGATATTTTTAACAACCAAATTAAAATAAAAATTTGATAATTTTGATTACTCTAACAAAATTAATAATCAACATAACCATAACCTTGGTGTTCCTAATATGAATAGCGGATGCTAATTATAATTAATGATGATTATGTTAGTACTATATTTTTGTTTCGCCGAAGACGTAACGGAAGGTAAAGCTTAATGAATCATTTATTTTTTTTCAGCTCATACAAAGGCCTCATGCATACCAACTATTTTCTATAATTGTTAATTTAACCATACAGTCACATGATTCCTCATCTCATGATACGCATAATCTCACCAACTGGTTCATTTGGATGTTGCAGCAACGAATTTCTCTCGGAGGGCACGAAACTTTGGCAACCAGTTTATCATGAGAAGGCCAGCTTTCTTTAATTTTCGGGGTGTCTGAAAATGCTTGTATCCATCCTGACAATGATGGAAAGCTCTCCTCATCAATCATCTTGATGCCTGTATTCTCTTCAAAAACGCTCATTAGGTTAGCAAGCCAGCCATAGGCAAGATCGGCGAATCCAATCTTCTCTCCGCCGAAGAATTTCTTTCCTCTCAGCTCCTCCTCTAAGACTTTCAGGTTTTCCATGGCTGAACCAATAGCTTCTTCTTGCTCTTGTCCTTCTACCTTGAAATCATTCAACATTGATGGCATTCCCTACATTAAAAAGACAAAAGAAGCTTCCTAAATGTTTAACAAACTGCACAATATATACTTTTGTGATGGAGTGTTTTTTATACTTCTTTATAATATGTTACTTTTTGTTGATATATAAAAAAATAAAAATAAAAAATCCGCACAACATAAACCATCAAATAAAGCAAGCCCTTTTGACTTGATGATACGTGTGTTTACTAGAATGATCATGAGCATGGATACATTTTACCTATTCATCACAAAATTTGGCCAAAAAGCGTGCTCTTGCCCTCTTGCTTGGATCCTCTGGCACTAAAGGATTTTGCTTCCATGTCTCATCAATATATTCAAGTATTACAAAGAGATTCCGAGATTGGGTTGCCGTTGTGCACAAGCACTGGAATTTTCTTGTAGACAGGATTGTACTGAAGAAGTAAAGAGCTCTTGTTGGATAGATCTTCATCCATTTTGATCAAATTGAATTCCCTTGAGCTTCAATGCCCAAAACAATTCTTAAGCCATATGAACTTGACCATGTCTTGAAAAGTTTCACTTCTTCTGCCATACTGTTTTGCCTCCAAAACTTTACTGGCTCAGCTTCTACATATATACAAATTCAAGTTTGTCTACCTCGAGAAGTCTTTGATATCTTTGAGGTAAGAAGGATATTTAATGAAAAATATGATGAGAGCTTGGTGTGCCCTAGGTAGTGATTGGAGGCAAAGTGTTTTGTTCTCACCATACGCCCGGCGCCTACTGGGAAAAATATTGTTTTTACCGGCTTAGCGTCAACACATATACCACAAGACATTGTTTTGCCATCACCAACGGTCACATTTTCCAGGTCAGGAACATTTTTCAAATCATATGCACTAAATGTCGCTGTAATTTTGGGTTCGGTGCATCCAAAATGCTGATGAAGAAATATCGATATCATTATTGGTTTATAAATGTCAACTGGGAAATAATATCATTATTATTCATTCATTGATTGTTCAGGAATTGGAGATAAGAGAAGAGCAAACAACAACTAGGCTGCCTGGGTTGTTGTTATGTGAAAGAATGTTACATAGGATACACATTTCAGGCGCTCCGGTGCGTGATTTCTATTTTGATTAGTCAGCCTTGTTCACCAAACTCAACAGCACCCCAGCAGTAAGACTTGTTGCGACTAAACCAAGTGATGCCTCCGTAGAGACATGAAACCCTGCAGTAAAATGGTTGAAACCTTAGGATGCTCTTTTCTTCCTTCTGAATCGAGGATTACAAATATCTTGTATTGAATGATATTGGTCAACAATACAAACCGAAGAAATCAAGGATCATTTTACACCCAATGAAGCCCAGAACAACTGCGATGGAAGGCTGCCAAAAGGAAAGCAGGAAAAGAAATTCCATCAGTACAGAATCAGACTTACTACATTCGTACGGTGTCAAAGTGACCAAAAAGTTGAGAATGGTAAGCAATCAGCAATTAAAGTAGAGATAAAAGGCATCTTCACAGCAAAATATGCTTCAGCAGTCATCTAATACATGAAGATTCTGAAGATTATAACTTTACATGGGGATAAATAGGATATTTTCATATGTATTAGATTAAGAACTTTGTCTAGTATGGTGCATTTAAGAGTATCAGAAAATTACATTCACAACCTTCTGATCTTACTCTCTCAATAATATGCAAGTAGCAGCTCCATCAGATGCTTGGTAACAATTGAAACAAATTTATTAAAATTCATTTCATGTTTAATCATATCTAGTTGAAGCTTAAAAACACAAGTTAGTAAGTAAATCTTTACCTGCAAATATTCCAACTCTGCCATTCCCTCAGAAATCAGAGTGTAAAGTGACCTTAGGCCTTCAGAAACATAGCAATAAGTTCACATGATCTTGCTCTAGTAAAAATTTTACAATGATCCTTAAATTGCAAATTAAAATACATATTTAATCTGTTATATGAAACTATGAAAAATAGTGCTCGCAAGTTGCAACCATTTCCTTATTTTCTACAAGTTATTGTTGGAGTTGGACATTTAATCTCAGTTACTTTATCATTGGCTTTCAATCCGTATTGAGAATACGAAATGAGAATTACCTAAGATGGCAAAGAGATTAGATGTAAAAACTATGAAAGGATCCCGGGTAACACCAAAAACAGCCGGTATTGAATCAACCTAAAGGAAATAAAGACCTGCATCAGTATTCCTACCATCTCATTTATCAACAGTCTAATGCAAATGTTTGTAGAGATAGACATATGCCAGACGTTGAATAGGAATTGTGAGAACCTACAGCGAATGCTATATCACTTAGCTCAATAACCGCTACTGTGAGAAGCAAAGGTGTGGCCTGTCCAAAATGTTTGAGACCTGTTAGATGAAGAGTTAATAGAACTTATTAAAGGAACTTAAAAATTTTCAGATTTGTAGATCGTTTGATCCAACAATAAAATTGAGAATGCTATGAGATAGAACACAGGAAAAATTATATACAATCTCATCAATGACTTACTTTCCAAATGCCATCCTGTGTAGTTAGAAATTTGTTGCCATCATAATAATCTGAAACAATAAAGGAAAATAATTAAAATGTCAACCACAAAATCTAACCAGTGCTGACAAAATCAACTAAAATGAGTTGAAAAAACCTTAGCTCCACTCTCAATCTACTAGTTATACCCTATATCATCAACATGCTAAATGACGTCACAATGGATAGGGGGTCGAAAGTAAATAATGTTTTGTGAAATACAAAGGGAATCATATAAAGGCAGAGGACACAGAGGCGAACATTACTTGTGACAGGGATAAATCTCTGGCATGTCTTCACTATAAAGTTGTCAGATAAATTGGTGTCATCCTCTTCATTGGCAAATAGCTATCATGAAAAAAGAAAGAAAGAGAGAAAGAAACAAGGAAAGATAAAACAATGTAAGAGCTATAGGAATCATTAATCAACATAAAAGAGAGAACAAAAAAAATTGTCAGGAGTATGCAAAGCAAGATACTATCAAATAACAACATGTTCTAGACCTAAAACATCAGAATTTATGAATATATGTTCTGCCCCTCCCTCAGCCTCCCTTTTTCTTTTGGTAATTTATAAGGGAGTTTCCCAGCTCAAGCAGGCAGTTGATGACAGGCTAGCAAACTTATATCAACTGAAACAGTTGGCTTAACTAACCTAAGTAGGAATCCCATGCAGTTTTCAGAAACACTGTTTATAAGGGTACATGTTAAAATTTCAATAGCACATGTTGGACTTGAAATAATTGATACCCCTTATAGCAAAGAAACCTCACCTTGAAAGATGAGTACAATAGTATGACTGCCAGCAGCAGGTTAACAGCCTCAAACCTCTAAAACAACAGCATAGAAAGAAGTTAAGAATGAGCTCAAACAAACAAGAAAGGATGGGGAAATGCACAAACAATAAATTGCCATTTCTCCCAGAAAGATGAGGATTTACCTGAAGGGTAGCTGTTCCAAGTAGTATCAGTGACAAGCGAAAGACAATTGCACCAGCAATGCCGTATGAAAGTACTCTATTCTATAGTTCAAACAAGACAACCTTAACAAGCAAGGGACGGCATGAAATGGTTTATCTAAATCAGGCATACAGACAATATCAAAAAATGATCATGCAAACATCTGACAGCGTTCAATCACATTGTTAAGAGGAATCATAGATTCATAATGCTGATCTAAAGGGAGAGGAGATTTGTAAGGAACCTGATACATAAGTGGCACTTTAAAGTACTTAAATATCAGAACAAAGACAAATAGGTTGTCCACTGACAAACTCTGCTCCAATATATACCTGAGAGTGATTCATAATGATCAGCATCATGGATATAATCCAATTTCAAGAAATGAAGTTTGCAAAACTAATAAACAAAGAATCAGGATATTCATAACCCAACACCCTCACTGAAATCATCCCTAAAGGTTCATATGCTAAGTGCAATCTGCATTATAGAAATATTTTCACTAGTTCATATTTTTATGTACTATTTTTACACATTCACTAATTCTCTTCATTGTTGGTTTCAGCATTATAAACTAACTCCCTTTGAAAATGAAGTTAATTATCTATACATTGTCAAAGCAACATATATACAACTTTCAACCTTCAAATTCAGCATACCCTGTAAAAAACTCTGAAGCCTTGCCAACTCCATCTTTCAAGCCAACACCTATTCCAAATGCCACAGCCGTGCACACCTGCAAGAACCAATATGGATAGACTGCCTAAATCCCAAGAACAGCACAATCAATATATTCAAAATACAGCAAACAAAAATTGACATACAAGGTACTCACACACAAAGCAACAGTTGTAATTGATGATTTATAGGATACATTTCCCTGACTTTTGTCCTCTTTATCAGCATGAGAGGCACTAGCAGTGTAAATATCATCATCTGACTGTAAACTTGTTGTCTCACCTTCTGCATATTGATTTCAAAAGTGCATCATTTTTGCCCAACAGAAAAAAGAAATGCACCGTTAATCCTAGATAATTTGTTGATATCACTGTAATTAATAAGTAGTTGTTTCTGTACAGCATTCTTCCTGCAGCTCTAGCAAGTTTTCCTGCTTCCGTGTTTTGCGCAACGAAATTCGGACAAAGAACGAAAAGAATACCTGTTGATAAGTAGTCATCTTGTTCAGTTCCTCTGGAGCAGGCGAGAGGAGAACATTTGGCGCGACGATGACTAGCTGCAAATCCAAATCCAAATCCAAACACACTACTAAAATCAGACAGTTGGATTTGCGAATTAACCAGTTCAGGAACATGATTAAGGAGAAACCTGAGTACAAAGTACGGAGATGAGGATTGGTGAACGGGACACTAATCCATCTCGGAGCGTGAACTGGAGGCGAAACCCTAAGCGGGACAGGATCGAACTTGAGAGAAGTCCGAATGCCGCTGCGGTGAACAGCGGAAGCAAATTCCATTAGCCTTCTGCTCTCCGCCGAGAAAAAAACCGGTTCCGGTGCTGAACCAGAAGAAGGAAAGAGAAAGGAGTTATTTCTTATCCTTATAATTGTTTCTGGTCGAGAGAAACGATCTGGGTATCACTCCACCAGTATGGTCCACTGAGAGCTGATTGTTGTGTGTCGTTTCGCAATTAGACCGTGCAAAATTAGAACCGATCTGACCTACCCGCCTACAGTGGTTCACGTTATAGGTTTAAAGGATTGACTCAGCGGCTAAGCAGCTGATATTACTTGGATTAAAAATTATTCGGACCGAGTATGGTGGGTCAGGATAAGGTTGGGTGAATTCAAATTCATCATATTGGGTGGTCCTACAGCAAATTTTTTTATATTATTTTTTATATAATTTTTATATAAATACATTTAATATTGTAAATTTCGTATAAATTAAAATAATTAATCATTTAAATGATACATTAAATTGTATAAAAAAATAAAATAAAAGAATTATACAAAAAGATGAAACAAGAAACTTATACAAAAATCATTTCCCTTCTTAAAAATAAAGATTAATATATAGTAGTGTCAACTTTTAAAAATAATTAGAGTTTCAACATATATCGAAAAATTAAAATCCTATGTTATTAAATGTTGATATTTAAATTTAAATACTTATT